TTAGTCGCAGAAAAACTTAGCAGATAGTACAGAGTTCCCATGTACTATTTCCTTCCCTTCACAGTTTGTCTTCTTAACATGTTACTATTGTACATTTATTACAGTTAATGAGCTAGTATCGATACATTTATTAACTCAAGTCCATCTTTTATGCAGATTTCTTTAGTTCTTACCAAATGTCTTTTTTCTGTTCCAGGATCCCATCCAATATACCACATCATCATGTCTGCTTAGGGATGGGTTCCTTGTTTCTGGTGACCTTGTCTCCATTATGATTGTGAAATGACCCTCTTTATTGAGGAGTAATAGGCAAGTATATTGTAGGATACTGATCTTTTGGAATTTGTTTTTCTCAACGATTAGACTGGTTACATGTTTTTGAGAGGAACATTAGAATTTACTATTTCATCACATCATATCAAGGGTGCCTATAATCAGTATGATTTATGACTGTTGATGTTGACCTTGATCACTGGCTGAAGTAGTGTTTGTCAGCTTTCCCTATTGTAAAGTTATTCTTTTCCCCCTCTGTCCATACAGTACTCTTTGGAAGAAAACCACTAGAATCCCCCACTTCAGGAATGGGAGATGTGCTTCTCCTCCTTTAAGGTGTAATATTTATGTAATTTATCTGGAATTCTTCTCTATGGGACATTAGCTTAACTCCCCCATTTATTAATTCAATCATTTATCAGTGTGGACTCATGGATATTTTATACTTTGGGTTATAGTCCAATACTACTTTATTCAAATTGTTTCCAGCTTTGGCAGTCAGTTGTCCTCTAAAGAGATTTTTAAAAAAGAAAAATATTTACTGTTTCTGGTACCGTGTATTGTATATCCATCTCATTTCATTCATTTCTGCCTGAAGTTATTCCTTTAATATTTGTTATAGTGCTTGTCTGCTACTGATGAATTCTTTCACCTGTTTTGTGTCTGAAAAATTGTTTATTTGGCCTTTTGAAAGATATTCTCATGTATGTAAAAATCCAAGTTGACTTTTTTTCCTTTTAGTACTTCAAAGATGTTGCTTCACTGTCTTGCATTATTTCTTATGAGAAATCTCTACTTTTTCTTTGTTCCTCTGTAAATAGTGTATTGCATTTCTTTGGCTGCTTTAAAGATTTTTCTTTTTATCATTGGTTTTTGTGAATTTGATGTACCTTCATAAAGTTTTCTTCATGTTTTTTCTCCATAAGGTTTGCAGAACTTTTTGGATATGTCAGTATATGTTTTCATTAAATTTGGAAAAAACTTAAGCCATTACATCAAAAAATTTTTTTTCTTTGTCTTTCCTGTATTGTTAACTCAAAATACATGCATATTAGGCCACTTTAATTTGTTCCATAATTCACTGATGGTCATTTCACCTCCCCCACCTCCCCAAGTCTCTTTTTCTGTTTTATTTTGAATGTTCTGTTTCTGTTTTTAGTCAGGTATACTAGCATCTTCTTTTGTATAGTATGATCTGCTATTAATACCATCTAGCATATTTTTTATCTCAGTCATTGTATCATTCATTTCTGATTTGGGTCTTCATATCTTTCCTGAGTCTAGCATACTCATGCTTTACATTCTTGAACGTATCTAATACAGTTATAATTGTTTAAATCTTTAAAAGCAGTTCTCTCATCTGCCATTTTCAAATTTTCTCCTGATTTTTCTCTTGATTGTGAATCTTGTTTTCTTCTTTCCATTACTGGTATATTTGATTGGATGTCAGACATTGTGCATTCTGCCTGTTGTGTGCTAGGCATTCTTTTTTTCTCTTACATATTCTTGAGATTTGTTCTAAGCTGCAGTTAAATTATTTGGAGACAGTTCGATCTTTTCAAGGCTTGCTTTTAAGCTTTGTTAGGTAGAACCAGAATACATTTTAGCCCAGACTGATTTGGCTCTATTGCTGAGGCAACACTCTTCTGAGTGCTCTATTTGATGATGGCTCTTACATTACAAGGTTTTCTTCTCTGGTTGGTTGGAATGTGACAACCTCCAGCTTTGTGTGAGCTCCAAGATTGTCTTTATTTTCCATTCTCATGGTTTCCCAGCTTTGGGTGGTTTTCTCACATCCATGCAGCAAGCAGTACTCAGGAAGTCTCCTTTTGAGGAATGCTCTTTAGTATTATAGTTCATGAATTCTATATGAGTTGGCCTTCCCAAATCATGGAGCATTTAGGCTCTGTTTAGTTCTCCATCCTTGCCCTGTAGCCTGAAAAATTCTTCACGCAGTAAGGCTGGACAGTACTATTTTCTCATTTGTTTCTCTTCTTTCAAGGATCACTGTCCTGTGCTGCCTATTGTTTAATACCTGAAAATCATTTTTTTCATATATTTTGTCTGTTTTTTTAGTTAAGGTGGGAAAGATAAATCCTGCCCCTGTTATTCCATCATGGTTGGAAGCATTTCTTTGTTCAATTTCTTAAAGTTCTAGTCCATTTGTTTCTTGCTTTGAGAAATCTGATGCCAATCTTATTGTTTCCCATATAAATGATTTGATCTTTTTCTTAGAAGCTATAGACCTTTTCCTTATTTTTAAAATATGTAAACTAAGGTAGTTCTCTGAGTGGGTCATTATGAGTCACTTTTCTCATGTTCAGTTGTCTTTTCCAGCATGTGAATTTCCAGAAAGCATACTTGGATCGTAATTTTAAATACTCTTTTTTTTTTCTTTTTTGTTATCCTGTGGTCTCCAATTCTTTGTATATTGGATTTTCTTTGCCTGTTTCCACATCAACTGCTTTTCTCTGATGGTTTTAACTTTTTTTTCATTTGATAATTTTCTTACTCATACCTTGTAGGAAATTTTAATTTTATTCTATTCTTTCTTAACTATTTATTCTTCCATTTTAATATAATTTTGCTTTTTTCTTAATTAAAAATTTCTTTTTATGATTTGTTCTTAATTGTAGTTAAGTTTTGAATGTCTGAATGTGGGTGCAAAATGCTCAGTTAGTAATAGCATGCATTGTAACTCAGTATTGTAACTTGGTTATGGCATGTGGTTTTTATTGCATGGGGGGTTGTCATCACCTGAAATGTTTTGATTCTTCTAGTCTGTTTTTGTCTCATGGTAGCTTGGCATGGATGAAGGCAACTTTTTTGTATTTGTGAATAGTTTAGCTGTTGCAGTGACTTACAAAATCTGTAGTTCAAGAATAGCCTCTTTTGTCAATGAAGTGAAGTGCAATTTATTTATTGGGTGATTTTTTGGGTAGTGCTGAGGGAGTTATTGAGTGTTTATATCTTGTTATATAAATGCTAAGTTTCCCACTCTTACTCCTAATTTTCTGTTTTCCAAAGGATGTCTCTACCTGCTTTTTACTATCTTCTGCAATTCTTTTCCATGATGAGCTCCTTGGCTTTTGTGTTCATATTTAAGTCCCTTCCCTGTAGCCTGTGCTCTGACCTACCAAATTTTTTATTATTTTTTTACTTAGTCCAATCCTCTCTTCTCTCTTCCATGCATTTTTTTCTGAACCCTATAGTTCTCTAAAAGCACTTGCTATGGGAACTCCAGAGTAGAAACCACTGGAAAGTGGCTTATAATTTACTTCCTACAGGTAATTTGAAGTTTATGGTATTCTCTGTCTTCTGATTTTTATGGTCTTAGTTTTTCTTAATATTTATCTATTTGGGAGGATGTGTGTTTTGTTCCCTGCAGACCTGGAAAAGCTGCTTCTTGAGAGTGATTAACATTTTGCCTTAACTAAAAAACAGCTGATTTTGGACATTTTCTTGAATCAGAGAAGTATCATGACATGTAACATGGCATTTGACCTTTTAAAATGGTTGGATTTTGCAAATAAGAGACTTTGAAATTTTGTTCTTTCAGATAACAGGTCAGTAGAGTAGTTTTACTATTTTTCATGTACATTTTGAATTTCAGATTGTTCTTACACATATGTGGGGGATGTCTATAAAGTTAGGTTAAAGTTACTACATAATACCTTTAGTGCTTTAATGAAATAGTGAATTATTGTTACCTGACCTTTTGAAAAGGTCAGTAGTACATTTTGTTTCATTTTTTTAAAGGACATTTAAATGTAATGAAAGTCAGAACTGTAATATTATCATGAAAGTAAAGGTTATGGGGTACATTTAATTGTGTTCCTCTAGTTTTGAAACTGCTTTGAGAGAGACTGTGCTAAAATTCTCATGGTGATTATTTTTCAAGAATTTTATTACTCTCTTTCATTTTATACTGTTGGAGTAAAAGATTATATTTCTGTTTGTCTTGTTCTTAACTTTGCTCAGTTTTCACTTGTATTATTCTATTTAAGGTACAAAGTTTAAGCTGCTTACCCATCACTTTCTCAAGAAAGAAAGTGAATATGTTTCTCAGAGAATAGCTCTTCTTTCCTTAGACTCCTGAGCAATATTTTGTATATTCAAATATGTAGCTAGTGAATATTTAAATTTAAGTAATGTTATTATATGTTAGTGATTTTATTAATTAATTGTTCAAGGGTGTGGGAAAATTAAATACACTCTAAGAAAATATTTTTGTAATGTCTGTATGTTTAGATTGTATAACTATATTTTCATTTTATTAAAGTTTAAAAAATTGTACTATGAAGCCTATAATGTATTACATATTATTTTACATTGTGATTTGATTTTTTTTGTATATTCAAAACAGTTTGAAGGAATTCCTTTTTCATTGATTTTCTAAGAGAGATATAACATTTAAGACTCTTTTGTCTACATTAACAATTTAATATTCCTTGTGTTTATGTAAGTGACTTTGTTTTTAAAGAGAATGTCCTTAGTGTTTTGATTTCCTAATAATTAAAGTTTCCAACAGACATTTTTTGAGTCACTTTCCCTCAAATGCAATATTCTGTTGCATCTATTTAATTAAGTGTAAATATTTGGGTAAAGTTGATAACTTTTAGAAAATTAAGGAAACCATTGCCTTTCTATGTCATTATATATTTAACTTCCCTTAACATTAAGTGAAAGATGGAAATTTGAGTAAATCTTTTCAATATTTTCCACAGGGAAGAGATTTCCACCTTAGAATATTATTGCCTGAAGATTTACAGTTGAAGAATGCAAGGTGATATGGTATTTTGTTATACATATGATAGGATGGGCAATCTGTTTATCTGGTATAAACTGATTCCAGTCATTAGAGTTTTGCTTAAATTGCTTATCAGTCAACCAGAAACATTTCTGATTTTTTCAAATCTGTGCATTTATAAATTATTTTCCTGGCACTTTTCAAAGGTAACACATTAATTCCCTAATCTTTTTTTCATTTAAATCAATAAACAACAATTTTGTAAACTTCACTAACAAGTACTGAACTGAAGTATAAAAGGAGAATACAAATGAATTAGATTTTGTTTCCAACTTTTGACTGGTGTTAATTATGTATATATTCAGTCTGTGGAAAGACCCACATTTTCAGTTCAGTCCTGGTATAATATAAATTTATGTCAGCCCTGGTATAAATCAGCATGGGCTGTTGGTACAGAAAGTTCATCAGGAATGTCAAGAGATGAGACTAGAAATTAGGTATGGCCTGAAATCACATTTCTGTTCCTAAGTATCTCTGGGCATAGAGTGGAGGATGAATCCAGAGATATTTATGAGTATAATTAACAAGATTTGTTACTGATTAAAAGTGGGAGATAAGAGGGAAAGAGGAATGGAGGATGTGGTCCAAGTTCCTGGCCCAGATCACTAAGCTAGAGAAGAGGTCATGAATGGAGAAGTAGAAGAGAAATTGTTTTAAAACATACTGGGATTCTATAGCATTTTACTACGCTGATGGACAGTGACTATAATGGGGTTTGTGGGGAGCACTTGTTAATAGGGGGAGTCTAAGAACCATAATGTTTAAGTAATTGTACATTAACGATACCAAAATAAAAAAAATAATAATACATGAAAAAACATACTGGGTGTGAAATATGAAGAAAGATTTAGTAGGTAGTACTATATTGATGTGGAACTCAAGTCTGAGACTAGAAAAGGAGATGTGTGTGGAAGTCACAGTAGGTGTGGGATTTGAGGCTATGAGGATGAATAGACTTTTCAGTAACTGCATGTATGGTGTGAAAAGAGAAAGCCAATGATAGAACTCTGAAGGCATACCAACATTTAAAGGACAAGTAAATAGAGAGGAACGTGGAAGAGGACTAAGGATAGACCAGAGAAATAAGAGGAAAAGCTGAACAGTTGTCTCTGAATTCAACTTCAGAGAAGCCAATGAAGATAGGCTTACATGTGGAAGGAGGATAGAGCAATGGGCAAAATAGGTAAAGGGGATAAAGAGGTACAAAATTCTTAATTATAAAATAAGTCTCAGGGATGAAAAGTACAGCATAGGGATATAGTTAATAATATAATTTTGGATGGTGACAGATGGTAACTATACTTATCATGTGGTACTTTGTAATGTAGATAATCTTTGAATCACTGTTTTACACCTGGAACTAATATTTTATGTCAACACCACTTCAGTTAAAAAAGAAAAAGAGGCTTAAGGAGAGAATAGTTAGCAGTGCTGAGTGTTGCAAAGGGATCAGTTTAGTTATGGATAGATTTCATGCAGTGGCAGAAGCCAGGTTATATTGGGTTTTGAAGTGGGTGAGTAGAAGAAAATGTAAGCAGTATAAATTGTTTTGAAGAAAAGGAGTGGCTAGAGGAGGTTATGCAGTTAAGTAAGAGTTATAATAATGTTTTAAGATGACATTTGCTTGAGCAAATTAATACATTAAAGAAGAAAAAAAACAGTAAATTACAGATAACCACAGTAAACATATAATTTATGAACTGATATGATAAGGTGGGTGACAAGGGATGGAAAAGTACATTTGGATAGGGACTTTTCCCATGGGCCGTTGAATGAACTACTCTGCCACTAAGACAGAATATATGGTGGGAATGGGTTTAGCAGACCAAGGATAGAGTCATCATGGTGTGAAAAGGCTGTGGCTGGAAAAACTCAGAGAGGCTTCCTACTTATAGGTAAGTAAAAGCAATTCTTAGAAGAGTTACTTACCTAGCAATATTGAGAGCACAGGTGGGGTGAGCCAATAGATAAATAAACATTAATTTAAACTACTCATATAATTAAAATATGTATCCTTTTAGTTATTTTAATCTGGAATTTGAAGAAGACTGTTTTGCTACATATGCTTTCTCAAATACAAATTCTGTGTATTATGATCAAAACTGTTGGTTTTATTTAACATACCTTGGAGAAGAATCTAGTTCAATAGAAAATGTTGCTTTGGAGATGTTAGAGTTAAAAAAATATGTACTGTTTGCATATGATTTACTGATTACAGTTATTTATATTTTGAAATAAAATTAGTACTGACAGTTTGAAGACAAGACTTTCAACAGTATCAGTGGTAAAAAAATTTAACTTGCCAAAATTATGGATGTGTCATTCTTTTCTATGCATGTGCATGTTTGTGTTAGCATACAAATAAGTTTTTTTAATGCTGAACAATGAACAAACCATTTTATTTCATTAAAATTTTAGATTGTTATGTAGTTGGCAACTGAGAACAATACTTAGTGGATACCATCAAATAGTACAACAGGTAAGTTCTATTTAAAAGTTTTACGTTTTAAGGGAGAATAAGAAATTACTAAATTTATTCTTTTTTAAGTACCTACTTTGCAGAATGTCATAATAAATTGGTTTAATAGTTACTGAATTTTATAGGCTTCATCTCTCTCAAATATTCTAAGGATTTATACATTATGTAAAATGTTTTTTATCTCCAGGCAGCATTTGTGTTGAAACTGAGACTTTAGGGTCTTTAATGCATTTACTGTATCCACCACTTTTTGAGTGATTTTTCTGCTAAAACTTAATAGTGATGGTATGAAAAAAAATCCTAGGACCCATTTCGGAGTTCAGACTGTGGCCAAAATGAGATTGTAGTGCTAGATTAGCAACAGAAAAGATGTGGTGGGAATCACTTAGGATCATGTATATATATATATAATGAGAGTAGACATGAAGGCAGCATAGGTGAGATACAGGCAGGATTAATTTAGTATTCTTTTATTACTTGATTTTATATCTGGAAATTTGTGCTTTTAACCACCTACATTGATTTCACACACACACACACACACACACACACACACACACACACACACACACACTTAGTTATATTTGTGCTTTTAACCACCTATTTTGATTTCACACACACACACATATACACACACTTAGTTATATTTGTGCTTTTAACCACCTACATTGATTTCACACACACACACACACACATATACACACACTTAGTTATATTTGTGCTTTTAACCATCTACACTGATTTCACACACACACACACACACACACACACACACACACACACACTTAGTTATATTTGTGCTTTTAACCACCTACATTGATTTCACACACATACACACACACACACTTGGTTATATTTGTGCTTTTAACCACCTACATTGATTTCACACACACACACACACTTAGTTATTCTTAAAATGTTTAGGTTCCAAAACAGTTAAGCAATTGAAAATAATGAAATGCCTCTTGTAGAAAAATAAATGTAAGTAAAACTACATTTCTTTTGATGGTTTATTCATTTGTATGTTTTTCCTGATTTCCTGTATTTTCTCTATCTTAAAAGCAGGTTATTATCTATAACTGACAGTGACACTCACTCTCACATAAGGCATTACTGAATCACAAAGGAATATAGGAGGTAAATAATTTGATTTGTAGAATAGGTTGTCATTGCTGGCAGTATAATTACAACAGTTTTATAAGGGGATGTTTAAATTATTTCTGTTTTCTCCCCATTGCCTCCTACCCATCCATTGTGATTATTTATACTGTATACTAAAGTTTAAGAAAGGAATCTATTTTATGAGATATTTAAATAGCCTGAAAAAATCTTCTTAATGAAGACTAAGTATAATAATACCTGTAACTGTTTTTCTTCACCAATTTTTCCTAGAAAAAGTACCTCCCTCTACTTGATCATGTAGAACCCAGTATTAGCTTGAGTCTTTGTTTTGTTTCAAAGTCCAAATAACTATTACTATTCTTGTATCATTTTAAATTAGTAAATGTGCTCAGGGGGGTCAGCACTTTTTCTGTGGCTTTATTTACAAAAATAGGTATTGGGTATAGTTAGTCTCTGAGCTGTAGTTTGCAAACCATTGATGTCATTTATTGCTCATCAGTTGTAAACTAGGTGGGGAAAATACTGTTATCAAAGACGGGAAAGTCAGAAGATTTGTTCTACAAACACATGCCCACTCAAAGTTATGTTAAGATGTGAATTGTATGTGTTATGCATTATTAAAATATCTCAGATTGTTATTTTCTCATCTAAAGAGTGAACAAATTCACATATTGACTTTGTTCAGAATCGTGTGGTAGTAGTGCAGTGTATCACAAAAAGTAACAAAAGTACAATATTTTTGACTCCAAGTAGAGAAATGCTAGTTTTATCAAAGGAAACAGTTTTGAACTTGAGACTGCTTTCTTTTATTGTATTGTTATTTTAAGAATCAAAGACTTTTAGGAAATGGAACCATGACTCTTAAATATTCATTCTATTTTGGAAGTTATTTCCTTTGTCATTTTAACAGTTTTATCTTACTGAGAGATTGACTCCTTCTGAATTAATATGGGTTAGCCGTGAAAGGACAAAGTTACAGTAACATGTAGTCTTTAAGGTCAAGGAAAAAAAATTAAAAATGGTATTATTGATCATTGTTAATTCAGTGCTCTAACTAGATATTCTTAATTGTATAGATTTGCCTGGTTTCTATATTTTTGCTTCTCTTCTTACTCTCTTTACTCGTTACCACTTTTTTGAAGCTGTGGTTTGCTGGATTTGCTAAACTTGACAGTAATCAGTGCTGAAGGAACAGAGAAGGCTGAGAGATTTTAAGTGACATTCTTACACAGTATATCTCACCAAAACAGGCTTGAGGGCTTTAATTACTCTTTTAAAATGAAATTAGGAGGAGTAGTAGGGGTGATGACCATACTTCAGTTCTTACATCTTTAAGTTGTAGGTGCAGCTAATATTTTTTCCACATTCACGTGGAACTTTATTTCACTTTCAGTGCATGGAATATTCATTATACAAATGAAATTAATTGGAAATGTTGTTTTGATCTAGAGAATGCAGCACTCTTCTGATCTAATGAGCTTTATGATGGAGTTAAAGATGCTTTTGGTAAGAATTTGTTTTCTAACACAACCATATTCTATGACTCTTGATTTGTTTTGTAATTCCTTTAAAAATTAACATGATTAGAATTTAAAACTTCTCAAGTCCCAGTCATATAATGTTTTATTTTACTGTGGGCATAAATGTGGATGGTACTTTTCTCAAACTGCATGAGGAGTCAAAACCAATTTGATTATATCATAAGCTGGATACACTTGACACTAGTCTTGGACAGGTGGTGAAGAAATAAAATGTACTCTTGGGCTGTCAGAGAATTTAACATTTCTGGAGAGATTAGATGGTCACACTTAAAAATACAGTATTAGGTATAAATTTGTATATAGTCGCAGATTTCTGAAAAACTTGTAAGCCTTTATTATGTACTTATAGTTATGTACAGTAATGGATTATTCAGTTAATCAACTATGTATAAAAAACTTGATTATTTCATTTACCCTACTGAAGTTGTATTTTTTAAAAATTTATTATGCAGTTTTCAACATAATCAGAAAAGAGAAGACTATAGGGAATACCTATGGCCCATGAAGTAACTAACATTTTGCCAATCATATTTCTTATACTCTTTTAGGAGAAAGGGACTGGAATATTTTTAAGGAAATCTTGGGCATTGTGTCCATTCAACCATAAATATGTCAGTGTATACTTCTAACAGCTAAGTGTTCCTCTCTTTTTAAATATGCTCTTATAACCGCAACAAAGTTAATGGTAATTACTTATAGCTACTTTGTATCAGTGTGCAAACAAGGTCAGCCACATGTTTAGTTGATAATCAAGTCTCTTAATTTATAACAGCAGCACCTCTTCCTCCAAACCATTTATTTTCATGCCTCCACTTGTTGAAAAAACCAGAGTATGTGACCTATAAAATTTCCAGCATCTGATTTCATTTATTTATGGTATCTTTTAACACATTTTTCTACTTTTTTGTGATCTGGCAGTTAGATCTAGAGGTTGCAACAGAGTTGATTGAGTTCATTTGTTCTGGTCAGAATACTTTGCACCTGTACTTACATTGTGTCAGGAGGCACATAGTGTCTAATAGTTATTCTTTTAGTAAAGTTAAGACTGATCTTAGGTTTAGATCCATCCAGTAGAAAGTTTTGCCATCAACCTATCACCTAATGATTTTAGCATCAAATTATGGTCATTGCCTACATCTGTTATTTCATTAGGGGTTACAAATAGTGATTTTAAAAATTCATAATCTGAATTGATTAGTCAAAAATCTACAGAGAAAACTTACCCTCATCAGGTATTTGGTTAATTAGAGACATGGTTCATACTGGAGAGATAGGATAACAATACTGATTGTTTCTTTTAAAAAAATCAGATTTTAGAATAATGAATTGGTGCCTAGAAACTGTCAAAGGGAACTAATGGTATTTGTTAGTATCATTACTAATGCATGGGTTTTTATATATTGGATAAATTAATTTTTTTATGTATTAGATTAACTTCAACCCATTGCAGTCGTAATTCTTTTTGATGCTTGAATTGTACCATTTTTGGTCAGTGTAAGATCCTTTCATGTTCACTCCTGAGTTCTTAAAGAACAACCCAAGCTTTGCTTTCTGACTCCAGTTGCTCCAGATTCATTTACTCATCCGATTGCAGAACAATAATCAGTTATTTCTCCAAAGAGCCATGGTTTCTTTGTGGCATTTGGATGCCACAGTATGGAAACTAGAGCACTCATTGCTATTACTTCTAGGACTCTTCAGTGGCCAAAGCTAGGAAAAAAATACTTTCTAGAAAGAGGATAATTATCATGAGTTCATATTGATATTTCCAATTCAAACATGGCATTACAGGATTTTACTTTGATTTTTATGCTTGTATTTTTTTGAATATGGAAATCTAGGTTTCTAATAGTAACATATTCTTTATTTTATTTTTTATGTTTTCTGCTTTTCCTATATCTATATATATTTATTTATATTGGCTTTACAAAATTATAATGCTAATATATTGTTACTAACAAGTGAAGGCAGTTTGATATTTCTTTGTGGTTCTTTTAAGATTTCAAAAAATTTTTAATAGCTGTCACATATAGAGAGCTTAGTTGCTAGATTGGTTCTGAATAATATTTTTAATCCTCATAATAAACCCATGAGATAGGGCTTTGGTTAAATAGGATCAAAATAGAGTTTAAAATCAATTTCTAAACTTTAAATTTTGACTTATAAATATATAAATCCTAAATAAGAAAGGTTATCAAAGTTAATTATGAATTTTATCAAAGGCTGAAATATGATAACATTAGAGTAAGGTGAAGGTTAAAGCATATTTTGGTTTACATTCCCTTGACATTGGGAAAAAGTCTGAAAAATTTTAATATCTTTTTATCATAATTTTAATATGCTAAACTAATGGAAACCAGAATTAAAACTATATATACCATGTCCTATTAAGCTCTTACTACTAAAATTATTAGCTTGTAAGTCCAACTCTATTGGTCATTTAACCTTGAATAAACTCATTAGTTTAAAATACTGATCTAGTGCATTTGTTACTGCATTTCTGAGTAAAATGAGATCCTATATCATAGCTTTCTAAAGAAATTATGGACAGAGTTGGTGATATTGCTATTTATGGCAGTGTACCTAAAAATGTAAGAATTATTAGTTTATTTGTTGGGTTGTGTTATCAGTAAGAGGGTTCCTATAAAATGCCAATGAAAACATTGAAAATGATGTCCAAATGAAATCAAATAATTATTGAACTTTTTCAGGAAATTTTGTAAATCTCCTACAGAGTTTCCTAGTAATAATAGGAATATAATAACAGTTCAGTATGTATTTAACAAATGACCAATTACCTATATTTTAAAAGAATTCTGTGAGATAGGTTATTGTATTTCTATTTTAGAGCTGAGTCACTGAGTGCCTTAGCCTCAAACCTGGGAAATGTTAAGGTTAGGATTTAAAACCTCTGTAAAGCCTGTGTTCTTTACTATGTACCTTTGCCTCTTCACAAAAAATGCCTTGGTTCTCAGCTTTGCCCATTTTCCTGTTATGGTCCTAGAAGGAGTAACTTATCAGCCTAAGATAGAAGGCAGAATTAAGAAATGTCATAAACCTAGGATTAAAATATATTTTTATTATTATCCAAGTTTATTTTTACCTTCAGTATATGTGGATAGTAGTAGTTAATATTTCTGAATTATAAAAATTCAAAAATACAGTGTAGTTGCATTTAGAAATATAGGAACTATATTGACTTTTTTTTAGTAACAGAGGGTGAACTTAATAGTAAAAATTTATTTTTATGTACCATCAGGATATTTACAGATAACATTAGATGTTTATAAGAAAAGCAGTATGCTTCTTGTCATCTAGGACCTTATCTTCTAATTAAATCCAAATTGATTGACATTCTTGGCTTTACAAACCTGCTTTAACAGTTTCTTTACTTTGTTACTTTTTTAATCCTAAAGAAGATTTAGAACTATTTTAAAGTAGTTTCACTTAATAGTCCTGATTTTGAAATGCTGTTTCATAAAATCTTTTCTTTCTAGTAAGGACTAACAAATTAAATATGCACTTGAAGTAATAAAACTTTATACCTTTTATTAGGGTTACCTGTACCAGAAACATAGTTTTTATACTTGTTTGCAATTGGTTTTTTTAAATTTTGATATCTGACTTCTTTTTTTATTTTACTTTTTATAATACCTTTTGATAATCCAGACCATATGAACATATATATAATTTGTAGATAACATTTATTTTTACTTTCCACATAAAGATATTTGTCTGGATTAGTGTTTTGAAGTAATGGACATATTTCAACCTCAGCAATTCTAGTGGTTTTTGTATTGATTGCTTAAAAATTTTTTTTTTCAGTTTTGTTTGGGGGAATTTCAAAATTATATCTACAGGAGTACAAAAATACTGGCATCTTGAGGTTTTTTTTAACTTTTTTCATCTCTGTTAGGCATAAAAGTCTAGGAGAACATTGAAGTCTTAAGTTTTAATGGTATAATAATTGACATTTTTACATGACCATCAGTGCAGTCCTTTTAACTTTTTTATATCTCCTTTTTATATGAGAAGGGGAATAATTCAGCTGGATTTTCTACAAAAGTAATGGACATTTTAGTTAGGCACAAAGATGATTATGAAATTGTTTTGTACTCAGGTACTAACAACTTATGTAGCATTCCACACTGATTCGAGTTTTCTCTTTTAACAGGAAGTTGCCTTAAAGAATAAACAAGAGGTATATGCTCCACTTCCTCCTCCCCAGTTCTACTCAAGCATTATTGAAGAGATAGGAACTCTTGGTTGGGATAAGTATGTCTATTTTAAAATGTTTTAGGAATGCATTTCTTTTATACATTTCAGCTTAATATATTTGCAGTATCAGTAATTTGTTTTATACCAGTTTTTTGTCAGAGTGTTGCATTGTAACTGGAGTATCTGAACCTTATTTTGGCTGTGGATTAAAGGGACATCATCATAAACAAATTTTACCTACAAAGTAAAATACTAAATGTAATTTGGAAAAAATAATATTTTTATGTATATAATAAGATGTTACCATATTTTCACTGAATATATGTCATTATTTTTTATTGAGGTGTAATTGACAAATTAGAATTAAAGTGTACAACACAATTACATTGTGAAAAGATTCCCACAATTGCATTAACTAACACATCCATCACCTGATAAATCATCTGTTTTTTTTTTTTTCTGATGTTTGTTTGGGTCCATTTCTTACTGCTGTTTTGGAAGGGAGAATTTTAGGAATTTATTCCATTTCCACTGATGTCATTCAGTATAGTTTTATATCTGCTATCTTGCTATATGGTTGTATTTTACCTGTTTTCTGTTTTGTGTTTTTTCTCTACATCTGCCTTCATTTGAGTTAATAATTTTATTTTTAGTTCTGTTAACTTGTTAGTTATACATGCTTTTATTATTCTTCTAGAAAAGAGCTTACTTTAGAGATTACAACATACATATAGCAAAATATACATTCTTATAACAAATTTTACCTACAAAGTAAAATACTAAATGTAATTTGGAAAAAATAATATTTTTATGTATATAATAAGATGTTACCATATTTTCACTGAATATATGTCATTATTTTTTATTGAGGTGTAATTGACAAATTAGAATTAAAGTGTACAACACAATTACATTGTGAAAAGATTCCCACAATTGCATTAACTAACACATCCATCACCTGATAAATCATCTTTTTTTTTTTTTTTCTGATGTTTGTTTGGGTCCATTTCTTACTGCTGTTTTGGAAGGGAGAATTTTAGGAATTTATTCCATTTCCACTGATGTCATTCAGTATAGTTTTATATCTGCTATCTTGCTATATGGTTGTATTTTACCTGTTTTCTGTTTTGTGTTTTTTCTCTACATCTGCCTTCATTTGAGTTAATAATTTTATTTTTAGTTCTGTTAACTTGTTAGTTATACATGCTTTTATTATTCTTCTAGAAAAGAGCTTACTTTAGAGATTACAACATACATATAGCAAAATATACATTCTTACTTTTTCCAATTTCTTTATAATGTGATGATCTGAAACTTAATGCATTTTTACCCACTTTGGTTGTTATCATGTGTTATAATTCTATACTTTATTAATATTTGTTTGAAGTTAATATTTATATATATATATAAACATACTAATTGTTTCCTCCCCTGTTGTTCATTCCTTCTTGCATTTTTATCCTGTCTAGAATCATATTTCTACTGGCTAAAGAATTTCCTTTATAATTTTCTTGAGGTATAATTGACATGTAACATTTTATTTGTTTTTTTAGGCATACAACATAATTATTCAATATATATATATATATATTATGAAATGATCACTACACTATAAGTCTAATAATATCCATCCAGTATCACTACACAGATATACAGTTTTTTTTCTTGTGATGAGAACTTTTAAGATTTACTCTCTTAGCAACTTTCAAATATACAGCACAGTATTATTACCTGCAGTCATCATTGCTGTATATTACATCCTGATACTTATTTATTTTATAACTAGAAGTTTGTACCTTTTGATCCCTTTCACTTATTTTGTATCCCTCCCTGCCTCTGGCAACACCAGTGTGTTCTTTATAGTTCAGTCTTTCTTCTTTTTTTTTCCTTTTTTTGATTCCACATATAAGTGAGATTATACAGTATTTGTCTTTCTATGTCTTATTTTGCTTAGCATAATGTGCTAGCATAATGTTGCCACAAATGGTAGATGTCCTTTTTTATGGCTGAATAGTATTCCACTATGTGTATATGCATGATGTATGTGTATATACATATATACATATATGTACATGTACATATATATGTCACATTTTCTTTATCCATTCATCTGTCAATGGACAGTTGTTCCCATGTCTTGCCTATTGTAAATAATTCTCTAGTGAACATGAGGGTGCAGTTATCTCTCTGACACTGTGATTTTGTTTTCCTTGGATAGATACACTAAAGTGAAATTACTAGATTGTATGGCAGTTCTATTTTTTTTTTTTGTGTGTGTTATCGTTAATCTACAATTACATGAAGAACATTGTTTACTAGGCTCCGCCCTTCACCAGGTCCCCCTCACAGACCCCATTACAGTCACTGTCTATCAGTGTAGTAAGATACTATAGAATCACTACTTGTCTTTTCTGTGTTGCACAGCCCTCCCCGTGCCCCCTCCCCCACATTATACATGATAATTGTAATGCCCCCTTTCTTTTTCCCCACACCCTTATCTCTCCCTTCCCACCCATCCTCCCCAGTCCCTTTCTCTTTGGTAACTATTAGTCCATTCTTGGGTTCTGTGATTCTGCTGCTGTTTTGTTCCTTCAGTTTTTCTTTGTTCTTATACTCCACATATGAGAGAAATCATTTGGTACTTGTCTTTCTCCGCCTGGCTTATTTCACTGAGCATAATACCCTCTAGCTCCATCCATGTTGTTGCAAAAGGTAGGATTTGTTTTCTTCTTATGACTGAGTAATATTCCATTGTGTATATATACCACATCTTCTTTATCCATTCATCCATCTATTGATGGACACTTAAATTGCTTCCATTTCTTGGCTATTGTAAATAGTGCTGTGATAAACATAGGGGTGCATCTGTCTTTTTCAAACTGGGCTGCTGCATTCTTAGGGTAAATTCCTAGGAGTGGAATTCCTGGGTCAAATGGTATTTCTATTTTGAGCTTTTTGAGGAACCTCCAATTGCTTTCCACAATGGTTGAACTAATTTACATTCCCACCAGCAGTGTAGGAGGGTTCCCCTTTCTCCACACCCTTGCCAACATTTGTTGTTGTTTGACAGTTCTATTTTTAATTTTAGAGTGCATGCATATTTATAACTGCTGCATCTTCCTTGTCATGTTTCCCTTTTATCATTTTTAAATGTTTCTTTTCATCTCTGGTAATACTTCTTGCTTTAATGTCTACTTTATTAGATGTTAGTATGTGTATACTAGACTTTAATGCTCTGTTGAAATTTTCTAATTTTTTCTCTGTTTTCTTTGATTTTTGTTTTAAAATATTTTTCTGCTAACTCCCATGATCTAGATCCCCTTGAGTCTGTTTTTATTTTTTTCTTATGATTTTCTGTCATATAATCCTAGTCTTGATATTCCTAGTACTTTTTTTCTAAAATAGGTTGTATGTTTTTTTTTAGAGCAGTTTTAGGTTCACATCAAAATTGAGAGGAAGGGACAGAGATTTCCCATATACTTTCTGCCCCCACAAATCCCCAACAGAGTGGTATATTTGGTTTAATGGATGAACCTACAATGACACATTGTTCCATTTTTTGTGTTCCACTAGATCTAAGTTCCATGAGGAGTGTGACCATAGTTTGCATTAGGATTTCAATGATGTACGTTTTATGAATTTGGACAAATATATAATGACATGTGTCTGCCATTATAGTATCATCCAGAGGAGTTTCACTGCCCTAAAAAGTCCCTATTCTTCATCCATTCATCCTTTCCCCTACCTTAACTCTTGGCAGTGACAGATTTTTGTACTGTTAACATAGTTTGACTTTTCCAGAATGTCAAATAATTGGAATCATACTTTATGTAGCCTTTTCAGATTGGCTTCTTTTACTTAAGTAATATGCATTTAAATTTCTTCTCTGTCTTTTCGTTGCTTGTTAGCTCATTTGTTTTTAGCCCTGAATAATACTCCATTGTCAGGATGTACTAGTTTATCCATTCACCTACTGAAGGACATCTTGGGTGATTCAAGTTTTGGCAGTTATGAATAAAAGTGCTATAAACATTTGTATGCAGGGTTTTGTATGGATATAATTGTGCATGTCCATTAGGTGATAGTAAGGCCTAGTACTTTTTTATCTGTGAAGAGTAAAAGGTTTTTTATTTTTACTATTGAATCAAAGAAAATTGAATACTCTAACAAGTATAAAGTCTGAAGTATTGTCTCTGTTAATTTAGATGACTCGTCTTTCTTTAAAAAAAACTGGTCAAAGGGGAGAAATGAAGAACTGGCTTAATTTGGAGGCATTCTAGTTAATGTACCTTTTCTCACTGTCTCTTGCTGGCTGTTCTTCAGTATTTGCTTTTGGCATTTAGGCTGCAGTGCTGTGCCTAATAATCTTTTGTTGAGTATTGGAAATTGTGTATTAAAATTTTCAGAAGCTCCACATCATATTATTTTCTTTTACAAAGGTTGTATTGTCTCCTGTGCTCAGAACATAAGAGTGGAGGCAGGTTGCCAAAATCCTGTTAGAGACTGGACTGGTTAAGGGTGGCTATAGTTGTAGTAGGGCTAAATCTACCTCTTACTGCTCCTTCTCTCTCCCAAGCTGCAACTCTCTAGAGTGTTCAAGCACGAGGCAGGTGTATACTTTGGGATTTCTCCATTGTAAATCCTGAATTCTAATCTTTGTCTCTTCATGAGGCCAGTTTACCTCCCAGTGAGAGTCCAGGGTCTATTTTTGACGACACTTCACCTGTCTCTTGTTTGCTTTGCTCCTAGCAGTAGTCCTCCAAGGGTTCCTACTGAGAACTTGGGGATATTCTCTGGGTCTTTTTCCCATGGGTGAGTTTTAAATTCTAATTAATTTCTCCTCAGTACTGTGAGATTTCTAAATATTCTGTTTTTCCTTGGCTTTCTGCTTAGCTTTTATCTTCTTATCCCTTGCAGTTAAGGATTTATCAAAAGTTTTGATGGGAAATTGCCAGAATATTTGGCCAAGGTCTCTACTGGTTGCCTTGGCAATTCTTGGATACCTTCCAACTTTGTTTTTCTTTTCCCTTTTGTCAGGCTACTGTAGTTATCTGTGT